TTTGCTTTTCTATTGCGCCAAACCATTGCTGATTTAGCAGCAATAAGCATATAGGTGAGATCTATAAGGGTCACGTCGTAGCTCATCATATAGTACTCTCTTATGAACTCACTGTACAAGTTAGGAAGTGACTGAAGAATCCAATCAACAACCATCGCTTCACCGACAACGGATCCCATCATTCTTAATCTATCAATGTGTGACTTCATCCCTAAGACGTGTGCACACACCGACTTGCCCTCTTTATGTTTACTTGCCAAAAGGGCTTGAGTGATATTGAACCTTTCAATTTTACAATCTTGTGGGTTAGGGAGAATAATTGGAGGAGGAGGAGGAAGTGAAGCATGATTTCTTGTTCCTCGATCGAATCGTGGAATATCATCTTCATGTGGAATGCTTGTTCCACGGGATTTGAGAAGACCATAGTTGTCGAACTTTGACATCGGGAGAAAACGAATTCAAGTTAGTTGATTGATTGAGTCCTTGGTAAATCACCCAAATGAAATTCCAAGGCTAGGACCCAACACAATATCCTACAACTCGGGAGAGGGATGCCGTAACCCAAATTGCAGAACATTTGAAGGTAAGGGAATGACGATTCACTAATTTCCACCATGAAAAACGAAAAAGAAATTTAAGTTTTAAATCTATGAAAACTCCTAGATCCTTTGAGATTCATTGAACATTTCAATGGCATGTTTAAATCTCGATATGCCCCTCTTGTTTGTGACTGAGATGCCGAGGATCACAAAGCGGGTGTGAATAACCATGCAAACTACATGGTGCCCTCACATGTTACAATCACCTATTCGATGTGCCGGTAAACCACACACGCTCCACCGAACTATGACAAACATTGAGTCACCTTTTGCTACCTTTGCTCAGAACCATTTAGTGTGCCGGTAAACCACACACGCTCCACTAACGTCTTCGCAAGGGCACAAAGCGTAATTTCATGGAATTGCATCAATTCACTTTTGCTAAGTAACTAAGATTGGGAATTTGAAAAACATTTAGTTACTTGTATTTCATTATACTTATAATGGAAGGTTTCATCCTATCCTACCCGTTCGGCTAACGACCCTCCACTAGTCAAGAGTGCGGTGGGTAAGAGTGGATACCCATTCAATCGCCATTTTATAGGCAATTTCCTTAAACACCCCTTATAGACCAGCTTCGTGAATGAGGCCTACTAACGGTAAGACTGACTTTTACTCATACATATATATAATGTTAGACTTTAATGTTTATATATAGTATAGGGTGTATTTTACACTTTTAAAATACTATATGGTTAACTTTAACAATTACACTTTTAATTCAATTAAATGGTTAACCTAAACTTTTATGGATTTATTAAACCTCTTTTAATTATACTCCTTAATTAATTAATAAAACCATAAGGGTGTGATTTGAACTTTTCAAAACATTACTAGGGTTTTAGAATTTAACATTTCTAATTAAACTTTTAATCAACTTTTAAATTCCAAAACTTGAGGGCAAGTTTTGAAACCCTTTTCAAAACATTAGGGTTTTAACTATTTAAATTTCAAAACTCCAAAACTTTTGGGTTCAAATTTAAACTATAAAACCTAAAGGGGAAAATATGAAAGCTTTCATAACAACAAGGATCAAATAACAAATAATTTTAAATTAACATTTAATCACATAATTATCCATATTTGATTTATTTAATGATTTCTTGCAAAACAATTTATCAATTTACTCAAGATAATTAATCAATTATCTTATAAGGAAACAATTATCTTATTAATTGATAATTATCTTTAATTAGATCAAGAATATAGTCATATATATCATAAAATCGGATTTATATTGATCTAATATGATAAGGTAACTATCCAAATGCAAAAACAGCAAGAAATCCCGAGATAAGCATTATCTGACGCTCGAACTCGCCGAGTACCACACTGTACTCGCCGAGTTGAGGTCTACTCGCCGAGTACACTGTGGTACTCGCCGAGTTCCTCAGCCATAAAGCCCAAAAAATGATTTTCCTGTTATACAATGCATCAATACAATTGAAACCAAGCTAGGCTCTGATACCACTGATGGGTTTTGGTCATAAGACATCCTATGTGCTCATACAAACCCTAATGCTTGGATCTAGGTTTCTCTATTGTACATGCTTTGAATCCAAGACTATAAACCCTAATTCTAACATATGGCAATCGACATTAACATATAATTAGGTTTAAGAACATACCTTGATTGTTATGTAGCAATAACAATCCCAATTCCTCCTTGAATTTGCTTTGGAAGGCTTAGAGTCACAAGTGTGACTCCTCTAATGGCTTACAAACACCATAAGCAAGTGGAGAAGGTATAAAGAGAGAGGTGAGAGGTTAGAATTCGTCTTTAGGACCTCTTGGGAAAGGATACACGAATTCATGACCCTAGGGGTGTTTATATAGGTGTAGAGATAGGGTTTCAGTCATTATCCTTATCTAGTTGATTATCCATTAAGCAACCAATAAGATAATCCTTGAATCCTTATCATACTCGAATTCTAAGGCTTTCCAACCTTAAATTCGTCCACCATATAAATAAGATAATCCTTACCTTATTTTGTAACTATCACATAATTACAAATCAGCCCCTCTAGTTTAATTAATTACATTTGATCACAAAACTAATTCTTAATTAATTATTGACCAATAGTAATTAAACAAATATGATTTCTCCTTTAATATATTATTCTTATAACATATTAATAAATCATATTATCCTCTCTCTCTTTATTCATTTCTCCAATCAAGTTGCTTTGGTGAAGGCAACCCAAAAGGACCATGCACCATCGGGTCAAGTACATACCAAAATAGTTATGGACTTAGACACTAATCCAACATATATATGGCATAACATTATATTCTATCTATTTTTTGAACTCATTGAGCATCACCGCTTACCCTATCAATGTTTAACAATTGCAGGTGATAAGTAACTAGTATGTTTACATACTATTGAAAGATATATAATAGTTTGTAATAGTACTTTTGTACTACAGTTTATGTTTGTATAAATTACAATATCCTAGGTAGTTATGTAATATATATAACACTTTGTAATAGAAGGTTTGTGTCCAATAGTTTGTAGTTCCCTTTTTATCAATGTAAAATATTGCTTTTATAAATATGCAAATAGCATGTTTTGGAGTAATGATATTGTGAAGTACGAAAGTTTAGGTCTTTCAAAAATACGAAGGTTGGGGTCTTTCATTATATATCATGTATATATGTGTAGATATAAAGACTTTTAACTCAGTTCAATACATTCAGTCATACAAACGATTCTACTTGTAACTATAATAGGTATAGTTAGGGTTATATTATTCATTACTTCTAGTTCAATGAAGCATACAAGGAGTCAGTTCATTCATGAGTCAATACTTACTATTATGAGAAGTTATACAACGATACTATTATGAGAAAACTATACAACGATACTATTATAAGAAACTACACAACAATACTATTATGAGAAACTATACAACGATACTATGATGAGAAACAATATGTTCACTACAGTAGTACATACATTACTATAACATAAATGTGAACCACTGTTTCGAGGCATGTCTTCCCTAACATGGCCCGATTTGTAACTAGAATCTCCTGGAGGGAGAGTGTGAGTTTTTGTATAGATCTATACTGGATTGACTATCCTACACCTTGCTGCTAGCTATAGTAGGACCTGCAGGTCTTCGGGTGCCAAATGTCATTATTTCCAACATCCTACATCGTCATGTTCATAGTCGATAATATGGTAAAATTAATCACATAATACCTTGATATAAATCCGATTTAATGTAGTTAGTACGTCAGTAGTTACTATAATACAACACTACAGTACTACATTAATTTCCCCTTTGCATTCATTTTGTGATCATTTCACATAAACAATAATGTATAAACTATATTTTGATAATGATAATTACACTTGGGAAAATTATACACTTTTATAAGAAACAAAACATACAAAACAGTCGTGCCTTGGTAGAAGGCTACTTTTAGTAGAAAATATAGGATTTTCTAGGAGTTAGAAACATTTACAAACATTTACAAACACTTACAAACATTCACATACTTTTACTACAAACGTTTACAAACTCACACTTCAAACACTGTTACAAATATTTTGATGCAAACAGTGACACTAAAATACTTATGAACTCACCAGCCTTAAAGCTGACAAACTCTTTCAAAATAATTTGTATTCTCAGGTCATCAGTAGACAGGTACCGATGCCAGCTTTTGAGAAGATGGAGCATATTCAAGACTCATCTTATATTTTGATTTACATTTTTGGTGTCATATAAACTATAGAGAACACACTTGTATTAAATTATATTATTAATGCAATGGATGATGTTGTATGGTTGTTTACTATGATTCGGTGTAGTGATACTGTACATGACATCCTCCACCCCAGAGCGTGTCCCACCGTTCCGGTTTTGGGGTGTGACAGAGAGTATGAGTGGTTCAAAGAAAGACAATGAAAAGGAAAAAATTGGTGTGGATATGGAGGATAAGGAAAATGTTGTAAAAAGAAAAAAAGCTAGTGAATGATGCACATTCAAAGAAATCTCCAAATAGAAAGAAGGGAAAACTAGAACATGAAAATGTTAAAATCAAAACAATGGAGGGGAAGGTTAGAAAAGTAAGCAAGGACCATCCAGAAGGTTATAGGAGACTTGCAACTAGGATGACTCCTGGAAGGATTAGTGCAGCTGTGAAAGTAATGTTACCTGCACAGAAAAATGGGATTGTATCTATGGGTTTTGGTTCACTTCTGAATATTGACATGGACACTACTCCGGGGTTACTTAACTACTATTTGTTAGATCACTATGATCCAGATAATAGCCGTCTAGTTCTGGAGAATATGGTCATAACAATTACGAAAGACACAGTGCATGATAGTTGGGTTTACCAAATGTAGGGGAAGACTTTTTTAGCATGATTAGTTGTGAGAAAGATAATAAAGTTCTACAAGAATGGAAAAGTCAATATGATAAAAAAAAGTTTAATGGTGAAGAATACCTGAAAAGGATCAAAAACACAAAACAAGACAGTCTTATGTTTAGGCTGAATTTCCTGAACCTTTTCATTACACATTTGTTGAATCAACTTTGAGTGGTACCAATCAAATAAATGTTGTGAATAAGTTAGTCTTGGTGAAAGAGTTCTCTAAAATTGATTGGTGCAAGTATATTCTAGATTGTTTGTTCAGCAGCAAACAGTTGTGGAGAAGGGATGATAAGACATGTTATTACAGTGGACCTATACTCGTTTTGACGGTAATGTTATTGTCTCGATTAGATATTTACTTTACTTTTCAATGGAATATGTATAATGAAGTAATTAATGTAGTTTTTTTATGTAGCTGGTGTATGTATATAACTTGAAGTTCTCAAGTTTGAAGATAGTGAAAAGGTGACCGTTTGTTAGAAATGTTACGAGTGCTCTACTTTAAAAAAATAGAGAAGTTGGAGATTAGTGTTGGGGGGTTTGGTAGGCAGCTACCGGAAAACTTTGAAGATACTGATGATGATGATGATGATGATGATGGAATGGTTGATGAAGATGAAATGTTGTACGGGTTGATGAGGGAGTATGGGGATGATGAGGTAAGCCATGAATTCGATAATAATGTGGAACATTAATTCTTTTAGAATTTTAATAATGATAAGTTAATATAAAACCTACATGCATACTTGGCTATTTTAAATTGTATTCTATGTTTTATAGTCAGTGGATTATTTGGAATGTGGAACATTAATTCTTTTAAAATTTTAATAATGATATGTTAGTATAAAACTTATAGCCATACGTAGTTGTTATCGAGCATAGCTATGGAGTAATATTGTCCGAAAAGAAGAATATTGAAAAAGCTCCAGAACATGGAATTGAGAAATTCCGAGACAGCTTGATGTTGAAGGAGTGGTATAAAAAAATAATAATTGTTCAACGAAGTGAAGAATGTAGAGACTAGAGGAATAAAATATGATGAAGACAGTTTTGATGGTCATAATAACAAATGAGAGGCAGATGGCGGTAATGAAGAAGGATTCTCTCCAGTTAGAGGATTGGTAGTTTATAAGGAAAAGAACGATGATGGTGGAGGTTTCAGTACACCTAATGTGGAAAAGGTAGATAATACAGACAATCTAAGCTGTTCACAATTCTTGGAGCATCTTGAAGTGTTGGCAACAGAAATTAAAATGACAAATGATGCTGTGTTGGAAAGTTATAAAAAAAGAGGAAAGAAAATGTTGGAAACACTTAAGGTATGTGAGGAAGATGATGACAATGGAAAAAAGGGGAAAAAGAGAGAAAAATTTACCTGTATATGGAAAATCACTATTTGTTGTAAGTATTGTTAGAATGGGTGACAAGGTGAAGAAGGATGAAATAGCGTTAAACAGTTCAGTTTTTGCATCAAAAAGAGATTATGGGCAAGCTAAATAATATAATTTAGTGGTTTGATTTTAAAATGTGGTGTTATAAAATTGATCATTTTATAATTGTTGAGCAAGGAAGAGATATGGATCATTGGGAGCGGGCATGTGTTGCATCAACAATTCACATATCATTTTAAAAGCAACAAGTTTATTCATGCGATAATCATTAACGGTTGGTCATCATTACTCAACATAATGGAGGAACTAAGGGATGTAGTATCAGTTTCTAGAGCTTTCTTCGACACAAATTGTTTGGTAAGTATTCAATTTAAATTTAGTTCCAGTCCAATAATATGTGTTGTGTTGATTGATTTATTAATCTATACATGCAGAAGAGATAATGTATGCATCAGTGTCAGCTGATAGAACTCAAAGATTATTTGATTCGATGTTGAAACTCCACCTTAAAAGTCTACCAAAACAGGAAAAGTTGAAGGATATTGGATTGGTAATTTAATTAAATATTATTTTTTTATCAATTACAACCCTAACATACAAAACTAGCTTATTGTTATAAAATCTGTTTTATACTAGGTTTTCTTCCCAATAGCTTATAAGAATAAATATTATAAATATTATCTGATATGCTTTGATCTAAGGGTTCCAACGTACTACATTATAGACCATGTGAACCGAAATGGTGTTGTTGAGGACATCTATGGAATAAAACCCGTTCATGTGGTATGATTAAGATTTATTTTTTGTAAGATATAAAAAACATGAATTTAGTAGTGTATTGTATGCTGATTGAATTGTATCGCAGAAAAAATTGTTTGGGAACTATTTAAAATAGAGCATTACCAAAAGTTAACAGCTTTCAACAAGATAAAAGCTCGTGTAATGAAAATGACACGGAAAGTAGAGAAAGAAGGATCAGACTGTGGAGTATATCTTATGAGGCATATGGAGTCATATATAGGGGAAAATGAAGGGCATTGGGATTGCAGTTTTATAGGAAAAAAACAAAGTGGTGTACTTGCTTTAAATAATCTAAGTATCAAATACATGGCAAAGCTTATGAAATCGGAGCACAACAAGTATAAAAGTATATTGGAGAAAGATGCAGAAGCGTATGAAAGGCTCGATCCATTACATAAATTGGCTTTGATGAATGAAGTGAAGGAAAGCATGGAGAAGCAGAGACATGGAAGGCGTCAATTTTAAGATGGATATTTTATGATGTTAGAATGGTTTGTCTTGAAAGACGTTTGGTAATATGTTTGGTTTAAGTCTATGTTTTTTATTTGGGGAACTATGTTATGTTGTTTTATTTGTTCTAGTATTGTTTGTTTAGGGGAAACAGTTTACCATGGTAGGATGGTTTATGTTGAAAGACTTTTGGTAACATGGTTTCTTTTGGTCTAGGTATTTTGTTTGGGGAACTATGCTAATGTGTTTTATTTTGTTCTAGAAGCGTTTGTTTTCGGGAAACAGTTGAATGTGAATGATATTTGTTCTAGTAGTTTTTTTGGAAAGCGTTAGTATTTGATAGATGTTGGAATGTGTATATCGATATGAAAATCATGAAAATATGCAATGTGTTGAAAGATGGTTTGTAATGTACATGTAAGTTTTGTTTTTCAAGAATGTAATTATGATATGCATTTGTTGTGGAAGTTTGATACAAGTTAGTATACATATTAATCGTGGATAAGAATTGTTATAATTGTTTGTACATCATATTCTGAAAGAATAAAAGTACTTGATTACAATTTGTAGAATGTATGAAGATTATGATTTCCCATATTTGTTTCAATGTTATATTTCAGATTGGATTCACATTAATCGTGGTAGAATCTATGAAGATTATGTTCTTACAAGTTAGGATACTCATTAATCGTGGATAAGAATTGTTAGAATTATAAGAACATCATGTTCTGAAAGAATACAATAAGTTGATTACATGCGCTAGAATGTATGAAGAGTATGTTCTTACAAGTTAGGATACACATTAATCGTGGATAAGAATTGTTAAAATTATCTGTACTTAATGTTTTGAAAGAATATAATAACTTATGTTACAAGTGGTAGAATGTATGAACATTATGTTCTTCCATGTTTGGCTGAAGATATGCATTTTTTTGTTTGTTACATTGTAGTGTTTTTCCCGGGTCTTGAATTTATAAAATATCAAAATGGTTGTCAATCTTATAAAAGAATGTATGTAAAATGGAATACCTATAAAAATATGTTATGATTTTTTATTTCGGGTATTAAAGTGTTCTTTCATAATTGACGTAAATGGCTTAAAGTTAAGTGTGTTTAATGTGATTAGGAAAAATTGTGTTTTTGGGGAATTAAAAAACTAATTGAAAATAATGATTGTATATATTTATAAAGTTGGGGAAACAAGCTTGGATAAAGAAGTAAATCAAAGTATGCAAAAGTGTATAACAATATATGACAATTATATTAAAGACTATGAAATTTGTAAGCAATACCAGAACAAAATTTGAAACAAAAAAGTTTTATTGTAATATAATATTAAAAAAACTACATATAAAGCATACTACTTAGACAGATTTTTTAAGAGGAAATTTTTGTTTATCATGGTTAGCCATTTATTTACATAAAGCACACATTCGCTTGGGCTTTATCTTCCGATCCTTGATGTCTTGCAGATACTTCGGATAGCTTCGTTTCCAATGACCTTTTTCATGACAATGGAAGCACTCTGCATCCTTTGGATTCGATGAGGGAGTAGCATAACCATCTTTGGATCCACTCGAAGAAGAACCATCACGGTACTTTCCCTTGTGGCTATTAAAGGAAGATTTCATCTTCTTCCCTTTCCCATCTCCAATTGCTAGGACTGGGGCATCAGCAGTAGGAGTGGGTGTAACAAACTTGCCTTTTAAACCACTTTCAGCAGTTCTCAGTAGACCTTGAAGCTTGCTTAGAGTGACTTCCTGGTTCAAATGATAAGTCATTCTGAACTAATCATAACAAGGAGGCAAAGAGTATAGGATAATATCAATAGCAAACCCTTCGTCAAAGTTGACATTCAACTTCAGCAAGCAATCCACATACCTTTGCATCCTTCACAAGTGGGCCGTGATGGACTCTCTATCCTTCATTTTTGTTGTTATCATCAAGGCAATGATTTTGTATATTTCTTGTCGATCACTTTAATGGTAACTTTCCATCAAGTCTTGGTCCATCTCGAAAGGCCAGAAGTCCTCATAGAACCTCTGAAGCTAAGGAGTCATAGTTGCAATCATGATACACGTCACCTTTTTCGCGTCCTTCTCATGAGCCCTATACTCAGCCAATTGCTCAGGAGAAGCAGTTTCTTCATTAATTTCCTTCAGCTCATTCTCAAGGACATATTGCTTTTCCTCGTATCAAAGGGTCATGCGTATGTTACAAATCCAATCGATGAAGTTGGACCCTTCGAAGTTTACCCTCCCATATAAGTTCATGAGGGAGAAAGAGCCAGAATAGTTGGAGCCAAAAGCATTGGAGGTAGACATTTTAAAAGGAAGAAGAAGTTTAATTAGATAGAAAATCCTTATTATGACACCCAAATGAAATATTAAGGTTAGTACCCAAACACAATTATTCACAATTCAGAAAAGGGATGTTGTAATCTAATTGAAAATTATTTGAAGGAAGGTACATGACGATTTACCAATTTCACCACCCCAAAACAAAATTTGAAATAATTAAGTTTTATGAAATTCCTAGTTCTTTGAGATTCATTGAACTTTTTAATGGCATGTTTCAATCTCGATTATTCCCTTTAAGCTTGTGACTAGGATACCAAGGATCACAAAAAAGGTGTGAATAACCATTCAAATATGCGTTGTACTATCAATGTTGTTTACCACCTAATCAATGTGCCGATTAGCTATACACGCCCTATTGATTTATGATAATTCTCGAGCTACCCTTTTCCACCATTGTTAGTCCCAAATTAGTGTGTCGGTTAGCCACACACGCTCCACTAACGATTTGGCAAGGTGCAAAGTGCAATTTCTTTGAATAGCATCATTTTCACATTTTTCCTAAAGTAACTAAAATTAGGAATTCATGAAAGCATTTAGTTACTTTATAAGATCATTATACTTATTAATGAGGAATTAGATTGTCCTATCCTACCCGTTCGGATAACAGCCCTCCACCAATCAAGGAAGCGGTGGGTGAGAGTCGACACTCATTCAACCGCTATTTTATAGATTGTTTCCTTATACCCCCCCCCCCCGCCTTATAGATCGGCTTCGTGAATCAGGCCTACTAACAGTAAGACTGACTCGTCTTATACATACATACATACATATATACATACATACATATATATATATATATATATATATATATATATATATAAATTTATATATATATATATATATACATATATATATATATATATATATATATATATATATATATATATATATAAGTATTAATCTTTTAATATTATAATAGTATAAGGGTTGAATTTTAAACATTTAAAACTCTATGGTTTAGAATTCAAATATTTCAAAATCAAAACATTTTAATTTATAATGTAAATTCCAAAACTTGAGGGAAAATTTTGAAACTTTTCAAAACCTTTTAGATCAAATTTGAAAACAATTAAATAATCATATAATTAATTTTTTTCACAAAATTTGACCTAATCCAATTTCATATGGTAAGATAATTCAAATCCAATTCTACAAATAATGAATTTATCATATAATCTAGTAATTATCTTAAATTTTGACAATTATCTTTCAATTGGATAAGGATAATCATTACCATATCAGAAAAATCGAATTTTATCTGTCAAAACAGTTTATGGTAATGTTCCTAATCCAATTCTGGTCAAAATCTCAAAAAATCTGCCAATAGATGAGCCGACTCGTCGAGTAGCCCCAACTCGTCGAGTCACACTATGGACTCGTCGAGTTCATCAGGCAAAATGAAAATTTCGATTTTCTTCAGCTTTGAACGATTAACCAATTCATCAATATAATAAAAAATACCCTCAACGATGATAACACTAATGGGTTTTGAGCCCTACAACACTCATATGGTGCACATACAACTCTAATGCTTTGGATCTACATTTTCTCAAATTATACATGCAATATCAATCATCCAAAGCATGAACCCTAATAGCATCCAATTTTAGAAAAAATTATAACATGAGACTAAGTTAAATGAATACCTTTTCTTGTAGCTAGTAATCTTCGACCTTTGAGAGCTTAGTACCTCAAATGCGATAACTCTAACAAGTCACAAACACCAACAAGTAATGGAGGACTATGAGAGAGAGTTAGGAATCTCTAAAATCGGCCAGGGTTTCTTTTTTAGAAGCATAGGCCGATTTTGGGAGTGCCAGTGGTGGTATTTATAGTGTAGGATGCTTAGGGTTTTAACCTTGGAAACCTTAATTCACTTTCTTAGGCCTTAAGCAATCCAATCACCCTTATGATATGCCCTTGGATGAAATCTTCATAGATCCTCATATAGATTTCGTCCATCCCTAATCAATATGGATCATTAGTCAAAACTATAAGTATTACTGATTTACCTAATCAATCCCCGTTAATTTAACCAGTCTCTTTTGATCACTAAATTAATTCCAAATTAATTCTTTGATCAATACTAATTAAATAATACGATTTCTCAATTAATATATAATTCTTATAATAGAATAATAAATCATAATTAACCTATTTCTCAAATATTCATCTTATCAAATTGCAATGGTGAAGGCAACCCAAAAGGACCATGCTACTATCGGGTCAAGTACATACCAATTATATTTATGGGCTTAGATACCTAATCCAACTGCATTCATGTATGTAGGTCATGCGCATGCACAAGTTTAATGAATTTGGACTACTAAATGCAAGATTTGCACCCCCCCTACGCGCGGGTAGGAGTTGGAGTAAAACCATAGATACAAGATTGTAAGCCTATCATACATTTAAGCTTATAAAATCACTTAAGTATCATCTTTCTACCAATGTGGGACTTATTCCCACACCCACCTCTTTTGCCAACTTTTATTCTCAAATACCCAACTTTTAGTATCGATATCTCATTCACATATACTCCATTTTGGACATACGATATATCGTTTCGAAGCTTTCACGAAGAAGAACACAAACCACTTAGAGTTAATTATATATACAACATAAGTATATATTTATATATGTCCAAAGTTAGTA